TTTATTAGATTTATATTTTTATTTTTGTATTCCAATATTCATTTCGATGTATAATTAATATACAAAAATTTGAAATTACATCCACTATAATTCCCTCCAAATTAACATATATATTGCTAATTGCAAACTCTAATTTATTTATTGTAGAAAAAGCTAAGGTATTACTAGTACTAATTAATTAATTCACTCTCTATTATTTGGAAAAAATATTTTTTTTAACTCTGCAATTTAGAAAGAATATATTATTCATTTAAAAAGTAGTATATACGTATATTCATTATCTGACAAATAATGTATAATTAGTTATCTCTTTTTGTCTACAGACTTATATTTTACTTAATTGAAAAAAATAATTTTAAAACTAATTTTTTTAATTCCAAAAATATCACGTGGATCAAAAAAATCACCTTATCTATTTTTTCTTCCTCTACGATCGTAAAAATATTATGTGGATTCAAAAAAATATCTTATCCAGTTTTTTTCGTCTCAAGACCTAATCCAAATGAGAAAAAATCAATTTATTTTGCACTTAGTTATAAAATGAGTTTGCGTCATATCTGACTATAAGAGGATTGGTTTGTTTAGTCGGGTCGAATTTGAGTCAGGTCTAAAAAGGTGGAGAAAAAGGTACACGGCAAATTTTAAACTCATGTGACATTTTTTGAATTTAAAAAACTAATTTTAAGATAATTTGTTTTAATTTATTATTTTGTTAACGAAAAATATAAATATGCATCATTTATTAGATAAAGAAGGTATTAATTAAATACACTATTTATTAGATGATAAAGATATATATATATATACACCATTCATTATATATTTCAATATGACGTTAACTAAGTTTTTATATATAAGTTAATTAAATCATTTATTGCTATAAGTAAATAAATCAAAATTCAAGATTTAAAGAAAGAACTAATGAATTAGTCAAAAGAATTACCACACCAAATTCCACACAATTTAACTTTTTTTTAAAATTACATCACTTATTTAGTAACGATAATCTTATATAAGTAATTAAAGTAAATTAATTTAGGGTCCACCGCCACCAACGCCTTTACCTTCACCACCAAACAAACCACCACCAATTCCAATGCCAATACTTCCTACATGCTCAACACTTGCACCTATACCAATTCCAATACTCACACCACCGCCATCACCGCTGCCACCACCGCCCCCTGAGTCACCAACATCGAGCATGCGCCGCCCTAACACATCAGCATTAACCATAATGCCATTAAAAAGAACAATTAAGAAAATTACTCCAATAACTCGAGATGATGAGATACTCATTATATTTTTAATATTTATAAAAAAAAGAGTTAAAAAGGCCAAATATTGCTGATATAATAACTTCTATACGAAATGTTTGATACGAATCGAAAAAAGGGTGCACTTGTCTAGGCAAGTATATATAGTGTTAAATTATTGGTCACTTTATCTTTTTCAATAGTAGTTGACTACCAATAGCATTTTAATATTGTACATGTATTATGAGCTAAGTATAAAATAATTATAACAATGTGAATGAACTAAAAGAATAATACAATTGTTTGGCTATTATATATTAATATATATATGTAAGTTTTATGATTATTAAAAGAGATCAAGGTTCATTAAGCAATCTTATTATTGGCTTCCCACGAACTTTATATAAAAATAATAAAAAAGATTTTATTTGATATCTTCATGAAGATTGTGAATCAATTTCTCTACTAAGATTTGATGTTCTATTTTGTTTTTTTCGATTCAAATATTTAAAAATTTATCCTCGATTAATTCAAATTAGGCTAGAAATTCTTTTTGGGGGTCAAAATATTTTTTATTAAAGACGATTTTATTTTCATATCTCAAATTTAAACTTTCTGAAAAAAAGATACATACTTATCATTATCTACACCAACCTTTAATGGTCTATCAGACTATTTCGAATCCGCTCGATAACTATCATGATTTTTATATTATTTCTAGTATTTATTTCACTAAATAAAATAAAAAAAGAGATCCTCTGTAACACAAAATACACAATAATTATTTTCTATAGTTCATGGAAAGCCACTACATGAGTACAAAATATTTTTAAAAAATTTACAATACATTAATCGTGCATTGTTAATTACTAAATCCTAATAATCCCATCATTATCTTCTAATCATTAATGGAATATTTGCCTAAGATCTAATCATTCACAATTATATATTTTACAACTCCTAACACATGCTCAATATTATAATGTTATTGTTGATACTATATATACTTGCCTAGACAAGTGAATTAATCATCAACTTTCTCATTAATTATTTGTTCTTTTTTTCTCTTAATTCATTGATAAATATTACTTATTTAAGTTATAATGGCTATCTCATCAACTCGTGTTATTGGAATAATTCTCTTAATTGTTCTTTTTAGTGGCATTATGGTTTCTGCTGACGTGTTAGGGCGGCGCATGCTCGGTGCAGGCGGCGTTGGTGGTGGTGGTGGTCCTGGATTAGGTGGATTTGGATTTGGTTCTGGTGTAAGTGTCGGTGAGGCAAATTTTGGGACTGGATTTGGTGGTGGTGTGCTTGGTGGTCAAGGTCTTGGTGCTGGTGGTGGTGATTAAATTGATTAATTAAATTACCATATGTGGTAATAATCAAAAATGTTTATTATTTTTTCTGTATCAATTTATATGACTTTTGTTTTTACGAGAGATGGGTGTGAAATTGTGTTTCTTTCTGGAGTATGTGATTTCTTTTTCCCAAAGTTGTTATGTTGTAATTGTTTCGGAAGCTTAATAGATTAAATTTATCTTCCTTTTAATTCGATATGATGGTGATTGGATTTCGAATGTATCGATTTATACATTCTTCGACAATAGTTGGTTATATCTGCTCTTTTTCTATTCAATCCACCGAGCTTTTCATTTAGCAAGATATTCAAAAGGGGAAAAAGACAAATATAGCCCTAAACTATCGTAAATGGTATGCAGATATCCATCGTCATACTTTTGGGACATTGGTGCCCCTACCATCCAAAAACTATAGCATATATGTGCTTCACTCTAACAAAAGACTAAATAGGAACACGTGACACAATTTTATCCGTCGGTCCGATATTTAATAAGATTATGACACGTGTATGTCCGTTAGTATAAAGGATATATATGTTGTAGTTTTTAGACGGCGAGGACATCAATATCCCAAAAATATAATAAAGAGTATTTGCATACTATTTACGATAATTCGAAAATATATTTGTTATTTTTCCCTATTCAAAATGCTAGCTAATCTAGACACTCTTTCTTTAAGGAGCAAAATATTTTCTATCAAAGAAAAATTTATTTATAGGATTCAAGATCTCTGATATTAAGAATGATGAGATACTTACTATCTCACTATAGTAATTTTTTTTTATCTCTCACCGTAATATATTTAGTTGTCTATTGAATTATTTTGTACCCGTCCAACAATTATATATTATTTTTTATGTTGTATTTTTTCTAAGTATATATTTTATTTCATAATAAAAGAGAAAAAAATCAACCACAATCACAATATATCAATTATAAATGGAATATGAGAAAAGAACAGTATATACGTAATTTTAGCCTACCTAGTGAAAATAGATATAGCTTATTTTTTATATATCCTCGACTAAAGTAAAACATCACAAGTAGTCATAAAAATGAATAAGAAAAAGAAATGTAGTAATAAATGCAAATCTAGAGAAGTAGAAAAAAGTAGAAGAAAAACATATAAACAGATAATAACAAATAATCGGAACACAATAAGAAATAATAACCATATGGAAAGTAACAATAGTAATACTGAGTATCTAGATAATTATGGACTACCAACTAATCTTTATTCTAATTATAATCTTTATATTTTGCTTTCATATCCTCGATAAGTTGATGTAAAAAAAAAGGTATCCAAATTGATAAAAAAAATATAATTGTTTTTCCAATTGTTCTTTCTTATTATTATCAAATATTATACATACATGTTTTCATTCTAACTATAAATACATTATACGAATCCGGAGCCTAAAGGGTGAAAAATATTAACAAAAATTTCAAAACGATATATGAAATTTCTTTTTAACCAAAATGGCTGCGATTTGATTTTTTTTTAAAAAAAATTATTTACACTTAAAAAAGAAATTAAAAAAAAATTGAACTCAAGTCGGTGCCTCAGCAGCAGCGTCATAACAAAAATTTAATAAAAAATATGTATTTTTAAAATCGCTCCTTCGGTAGCGATTTTGTTTAATTTTTTTTTTTTAAAAAAAAACAAATTTGACAAATCGTTGTTATAGCAACGATTTTACTTTTTTCGACGGACAAAATCGCTACTTAGTGAACGATTTTGCCATTTTAGTTTAAAAAAATAATTCATATACCATTTTAGAACTTTTATTAATATTTTTCACCCTTTAGACTTCGAACCCTACATTATACTGCTGGCAAATAGTATAACCAACTATATTGTTCATGGAGAGCCACTAAAATGAGACCAAAACATTGTTTATTCACAATCGTGCATTGCTTAATTTCTAATAATCCCATTATATATTTTTCTAATAATTAACTAAAAGATTTATTGATCCTTAAACCAATATAAAATAAATATAAGGGTAAATTTGGCTATGATCATAGAAATAATATTATTATTCACAATTATATATTTTTAACTTCCTAACATATGTTCAATAAAAAATAGACTTATTTAACACTATATAAACTTGTCCATAGAAGTACATTATTATCATATATCTTACGATTTTATTATTTTTTCTTCATAAATATTTTTAGTGCATATATTTAATTTAAAGCTACAATTCATATAATGACAATTTTTTCAGCTCGTGTTATTGGAGTAATTCTTTTAATTGTTCTTTTTAGTGGCATTATGGTTTCTGCTGACTTGTTAGGGCGGCGCATGCTCGCGGCAGGCGGTGGAGGTGGCGGTGGTGGTGGTTTATTTGGTGGTGGGTTGGGTATTGGTGGAAGTATTGGTGAGGCAACTGGTGGCGCTGGACTTGGTGGTGGTTTGATTGGTGGTAAAGGTATGGGCATCGGTGGTGGTGATTGATTAATCGAAAAAGGGTCAAAATATACTCATGAACTATTGAAAATAATATACTCTTCACGTAAGTTTTGAGTGTATATCAGACCATATTTCGTTAATTGATTGCTTGCAAAAGATTAAATTTGTACTTTTATTTTTTAAATAAGATTTTATGAGTGTGTTTTATTTTGAATTGGCTCTAGATTTTGATTCATCAAAATAAGAGCTTAATTATTGCTTTATTCAATTTTTTTTTACATATATTTTATCATATTTATAATGTGTTGATGTGGGTTTTTTTGGAGTTATAATTGTATCAATGATTATGATGGAGGGGTGAATTATTATTTTTATAAAATTGAAGTATTTAGTGTGATTTCAATTTATTCTGTAGTTTTTGGTGTGGCTTTCATCTCTGTTATAAAAATGATTCGAATTTTATGAATTTTTTTATTTCAAAATAATCAACTTACTGTATTAAAGTAATAACATTTGCCAATAAATTAAAGCTCTCAACTATAAATTTTAAAGTTGAAACTTAAAAATTGAGAATTTGATTTTTTTAAGGAGGGAATAATAAATTTTGTCTTGAGATAACTATTCTTTCTTTTTATTTTTACTTATTTACAATGCAAGTACATTTTAAGCAATAAATAATATGACAATTTTTATTATATCAATATTTAAATATTACAAAATTCAATGTTTTGAAAAATAACTATAGTTAATTAATAATAATGGTTTAGATATACCCTTAAAGTTTGGTCCATTTATACCCTCGCCGTTCAATTTTTGGTCTACATATGCCCTTTTGGGCGTTAGTTGGCCAACTCGGAATATCCAACTCATTTTACTTTTATTTAAATGCCAAATGAATTTTTCACGTCATTTATATGTATTATCACTTGACATTTATATACAAGGGAAAAGGGTCAAATATGCCTCTAAACTATTCGAAAGGTCTAGATATACCCCCGTTTAAAGTTTGGTCCATTTACACCCTCGCGTCGAACTTTTTGTCTACATATGCCCTTATGAGTGTTAGTTGGTCAACTCGAAATCTCCAACTCATTTTACTTTTCTTTAAATGCTAAATGGGATTTCACATCATTTATATATATTATCACTTGACATTTATATTAAAAGAGAAAGGGGTCACTTATGCCCTAACTATCCGACCCAATTTTAAAACACATATACGACCGTCTTTTAAATAGTTCAATTATGCCCCTAATCCGACTCATTTATGTGTGAATTATTTTGTTATTTACATCATCATCGCCTGCTGCAGCTTGCAGTTGTGTCTGTAACGTTGTTGTGGTGAATTCCTCTACTCTGGGCCTTGCCTGCCAGGTTTGCGCCTCCAGCTCTGTGTTGCGCCAAAACACTTTTCAAACCTCGACTTCCTTTTCCTTTAGTTGTCGTGCCATTGATTCCTCAGCAGTTCCAATTAGAGCACGATAGCGTTCGCCATTTAAATGGTTCAATTATGCCCTAATCCGACCCATATAGGGTATTTAAAAAAAGGGTCGGGTTGTATAGATTATTTAAAAGACGGGTCGTATATGTGTTTTAAAATTAGGTCGGATAGTTATGGGCATAAAAGACCCCTTTCTCTTTTAATATAAATGTCAAGTAATAATATATAAAAATGATGTGGAAAATCCATTTTGGCAATTAAAGAAATGTAAAATGAGTTGGATATTTCAA